CATAGCATATAACAATTATTTGCAGTTTCCATAGGTATACTCCGTCTTACCACGGTCGTGGTCGCGTCAGATCCAGATGCCTGTGGTGCAGATGCGCTTGGTGCAGATACTACCTACTATGTAGGTTAAAGGCCAGGGATGACAAATTGCCCGATGCAAAGGTTGACAGGCACCCAAACATAAAAATTACTCAGTCTCTCCGCTTGAATGAGTGTGACGGAAATTACTAGGATATACAGTAACCTAACAACAACCAGAACCATGTGCAAGATAGCACATGAGAATAGGAGTCGGATGAAAAGGCGATATCAGGCTTCACTTTAGATTAACCTAGCTAGATAGGAGTTGACTTCGTTCCTGGCCTACGTAATACTCTGAACTACCAAAGTAGTAAGTAGCTGGGAATCTTGATAGAAGCAAGGACAACGCAGGGGCACAGCCACGACACCCAAAATGATTGGTGAATACAGCAGGACGGTGTACGTTGGGGAGCTCCACATCGAATTGCTTTGCCACAATGTGGGCCCTTTACTTGTACTTGTTAGGTTTATCGCATAATCCGCAGGTACCAGTTCCATCGTTTTGAAGGGTTGTCACCCGTCCCTACCTGCATACAGAAAGCCGCGTTTGCCTTGCGTCTACGGTCTTGCATCACAGTACCGTACCTATTCTCGGCCGTCATCACGGATCCCTAAAAGATACACACGCTATTGGTTGGACATTGAGCTTATGCATCCCGAAGTATTCTCCATTCTGGAAACGGCAATCAACGAAAATACCACTTCGCAGTCCGGTTAAATTCTTCAGGAGTATTATTTAAGAAACTACCTGGAAAGCATCAGGCGCCTCCTACATTCATCTTGTGCTATCGAGTCAACTCTATGCTGCACAAAGGACAACATGATCTCAAGGCCGCGCCGTCCGTAAGTCGAGACAGAGTGCAGGTGTTCATGCTTCCGCCATGTGGGTAGACAGAAGCCGCACTGTGACATATTTAAACTGCATATTCGCATATCCAAGTAATAGAGCCGGTATACTCCGTACTGATGTTACCTGTATGCAATGACACTCGGTCTTCATGGCAATACACAGTACTGCTGTAAGTTCCGATAAGAGCCCGTTCTCCGATTTACCAGTGAGGTAGGAAGAAATCTTGGGCATCATGATGGCTTCTCTTGAAGAAGATGCTTTCGACTCTCGAGACTTTGCAAACGGATGAGTTTCTTGCCAAGTTGCGTCATGACTCCAAGGAGCAGTTTGCTGTTCGCCACATGGTATGCAAATGCTACATCCTGTGAAGTCCAAACGGCCGATGCTGGACCTCTGGGCAGAAGAACTTGAAACAGAACCACTTTCGACTCTGCTTGGTCCCTCGATACGGCGTTGTCATCACATGATGATTTCCTGCCCATTCCGTACATATCCAGAAAGCCTAATAACATGCAGACTTGCCCGATGAACACTCTGTCTGAGGGTGCGCAACTGCGGCCTCTGCACAGCTTCTCCCCACATAGTGTCCTAGGACCTGTCACCCGAATGGGTTGTGACCGGTCTGGAATATCTGCAGATATGCTAACTTTCATGTCACGGTAGTACAGTCTGCATAGCGAATGGTCTGCGTCTGATCTCAGCTTGCTAGATCTACCCTGGAAAACTTGCCATGGACCTTTTTACCTAGCCAGGCTGTAGGGCAGCTATAAACGCTTTTGTTTGCCTGGGGTATACACCTTGGAGGCTTGGACTATACCAGTACTGAATGAAGAAGACCTCCTCATACCATCCTGCAAACAAAAGATGTGTTGGACCTTCATACACTCCTGCAAGAAGCCGTGATAAGAGCCCGAGGAAGGAAGGAGGTAGCCACTGTGTGATCTTGCAGGCCGCTTCAGGTACTTTGATGGACTGAACAATGGAAACTCTTGCACCTGGATTTTCAGAGTTCCTTTTGCGGAGCTTGCCTTAAGGCTAGTCGTTTGGTAGAGACCTGGCACATCTGCCGAAGAATTTCGCCTTTTTTAATGCAGTCAGCTTCTTTCCCTTGTTCTGCCTATCATGGCTTGTAACAAGGGCTTGTGTGCAAGGGCTTGGAAGCGTGAATAGCTTCAGATTGTATAATAATCTACTATGGCGTCAAAGGGTCCATGAAGTTATTATGAACTAAGTGTAATTATATGGAGTCCTGTGCCCTTATGTAGACCTCTGTTTCCATAGCCACACCCTTGGGGTGTGTCCCTGTTTCCTAATTCATCTTCGGAGTCTTCAGAGGCCTGTGTTTCGTGTTGGCGCGCGTGCATGCCCTTGGGGCCGCCGCGAGCCAATCCTTTGGAATGAGGTTATCACAACTGCAGTTGGCGGTGTTGGTTGGCCACGGCGTGTGGTTGAGAGTCTTGGCGACCCACACCGTGTGATACGGCTACAGTACGAAGCATCTGGTAAACGGCCTGCCTCCGAATGGACCTGTACATGTAAAGGGGCAGCTGTCTGACCAGCTTCTGGCAGAGGTCTGTCAAACACAACTTCATATCCTTTCCACTACCTTACCTGTTACTACTCACTCCACATACCAGACATTATACACATCAGGGCTCTCTGGCATACACCCACCCTGTCCTGCCGCCTGTGTTGGCCATTCCACCACAAACAAGAAAAACATAACGCAGCATCACGGTATCCATCAAGAGAATCGCTGTCATCCTGGCCGCCTCAGTCCTCGGTGCTGAAGCTGGTCCTATTGGTTACGGTACATGCCAAGCTGGCTGCTCTGGCGTCGTCATGGCTTGCTACGGGGCTGCGGGCTTCACCTAGGGAGCGACACGTGAGGAAACACACATTTTTTATCGCCAATAAGCTATATGACAGGAGAACATGAGGCTAATCAAATATACTACTTCCCAGTGGGTGCCACCACTCCGGCCACTATTCTTGCTTGCAACGCTTCGTATGGAGCATGTCAAGCCGCCTGTGCAGCAGTCCTGCTGACACCAACGCCTTAAGCTCTGCTGCCTTCGAGAACCTGCTTTTACGGCGCCGGCATCTTATGATAAGCCTGTCTGGGATAGAGAGCTTATTAATATCACTGTCATGGCTCCGTTTACGCTTCACGGGCTGAGGCGCAGGATAAAGCAAATATTTGGGAGGGTTGGACTGCGGACTCAGGGGCATGCATGCATTTTCTGATGTGAGATGCGGCTTATTTTATGGTGTATGAATTCTTCCATGTAACACTCGGATTTTTGAGGTAGTAATCCGCGACCCCTGAGCCCAATCAACTAACCTAAGTTCATATCTACCCCGAGTGCCTCGTAGATCGCCCGCACGTAGACCTTGGAGGCAGTGTTGCCGATCAGAGATGCGGACCTTTTGTTCATGGCATAGGTAATGGTGACTTTGCGCCCAATGTCCATGATTCCCAGAGACCCGCCCGAGCCTCCCCAGTAGGCAATCTCGCCCTTGGGAATCCAGTCATCAACCCAGTCACCGTCGCCCTTCAGGGCGTACCCGATACCAAAACGGATGGGGACACCTATAGCGAGGTCCATACCGTTGGACTGTTCGTTAAGAATCAAGTCCGCCGTCTGCTTGGACAGTAAGGGCTTGAAGTTCTCGCTGCCATCCCGTCCTGCGAGTGTGATGGTCGACAGGATCTTGTTCATGGCGTAGGCGTTGCTGTAACCGTTTGAAGCACCGATCTCCCCCTTTCTCCAGGCGGCTCGACTCCCCACGTCGGGCGGCAGCTTGGGGTTCATGATGGCCTTCATGAAGAGGGGACCGGGCTTGAAATCCGCGGCGGGTTTCGTCCCAGCGGACGCAGCCACGGAAACAGCGACGCGGTCGGCATCTTCGTCTCGCAGCCCGATCTGGAAGTCCGCCCCCAGGGGCGCGGCGATGCGTTCGGCGACGAACTGCTTGAGGCCCAGGCCCGTCGCGGCGCGCGCGACGCGCCCGAGCAGGTGGCCGAAGGTCCAGGCGTGGTACGCGGACGCGGTGCCGGGCTCCCACCAGGGCGGCTGCCGCGCGAGCTTATCCGAGGACCCGACGGGGTCGTCGCAGACCTCGTCCATGGAGATCCCGTCGTCGTCCCAGCCCGCGACGCCCGACGTGTGCGACAGCAGGTGGCGGATCTCCACGCCCTCCTTCCCGTTGGCGGCGAACTCGGGCCAGTACCGGGACACCTTGTCGTGGACGGACGAGACGGCGCCGCTGTCGACGAGCATGAGGACCGCGAGGCTGGTGATCATCTTCGTGCTCGAGGCGACGCCGACGATGGTGTCCTCGGTCCAGGGCCGCTTGGTCACTGGGTCCGCGTACCCGCCCCACAGGTTGACGACGTCCTCGCCGTCGACGTTGACGGCGATGGAAGCACCCACTTCTTCGCCGGATTCGATGAATTGTTGCAGGAGAGTGCGCACCTTCTCGAACTGCGGCGTGCACTTCCCATGTACTACTTCGGCCATTCTCAGAGGATGGGGAAAGCGTCCAGGCTAAGTGATGACAGTTGCTTATCGATAGATGGCAAGACAAGTCGACAGGCTCGTAAGAGTTGTGTATTCTCGTGACGAACTCGGAGAATAAGGACCTTCAAGACATGGAACACATGCTGTCTTTATACACATCGTAAGCGACGCATGAGCACATTTTGCGATTGAAGCTGTCGATCTACAGAGATATCTGCAAGATCGCATCATATCAGATGTTTACTTTCCTCTCCTGGTTCGCCGGCGCAAGCTAGCGTCCGCATGTCAGGGGTAAACTTGCAGTCCTCCGGGATGGAAGGATTGATAGAACAGCAGATGGCGGTGCTGGGCCGCAGTTTCGGATGTGAGTCATTCGGCTCGGTACCGTGTCTGTATTAGTGCGTCTGTCTCTTCCAGGAACTCGACCAAAAAATGAAAGGAAAAAAATAGAAACTTCTTGCAAAAGACTGAAATGTTTCGGAACGGCATTGTTACGGAAAGATGTAAAGGCCGAACGAAGATCAGCTTGACAAAGGGGCAAAAGGATGTTCCTGCCCGGGGTCGAACCGGGGATCTTCTGTGCTCTCACTAGATATTATCAAGTTGTAAGACAGACGCCCTAACCACTAGGCCACAAGAACTCGTGAACCAATCGTTGATGATGGATGTTTTTTGGCACATTGTTTTTTTCCATATACTACAGATTCCCCACGTGTTTGAAGATAGCAAGCGTCATACCCATACATCGGTATAGGAGTACCAGTTGATTTATTCAATTTTATATGGCTTCATCTTGGCAATCAGAAGACCTCAATTGTTCACTGTCATTAGCCCTTTGGAAAAGGCCAAATAAGGCTTTTTCGGTGTGCATCATCCCAACATAGACATGATCATATGGTAACCTCAATGCTTGTCTCGAAATATTCATAAAAACAGCATAATTGCATAACCAAAAAAGAAGTGATCGGCAGCCACGAATCATTGGTCGCCGTGGTTTCTATATGTTTGCACCCTAATATGGAATAGCGCGTTTTCCCATTGTTTACTTGTGGATTTATTGGACATCTGTCGGGTTATTAGGCGGCGCCCGACGCGACCATCATCGACCTGCATCAGCGTTATCACGGGCGTACCAACACAGATATTACACAACTCAAGATGCCTCGTGTCGCTCAGGCCCCTCGCCCGAGCGCCGGCACTCGAACGGCCTCCGGCTCCGCTTCTCCATTCAAGTCACCCATGAAGTAAGTAACGAGTTATAATCTCCGTTTGTCTTACTCATTTTGGCCTTTTTATTTCCATGCGCCCTTTCGCTCTGCATGCGGGGGCGCCGGCCAACCCGCCGCGAATGAAATAGAAAGCACCCTCGCTAACTTCCTTCCCTCTGAACCAGGATCCCGTTGAACGATGTCAAAATCCCATTGAACGACGACGCCCGGGAAAAGAAGGGGCGCCTCCATTCGCGAAAGGCCCTCCACGAGAAACAGATCAACGAGCTGCAACAGGCGGCCGCGGCCACGCCTAAAAAGGGCGGGTTCAGGCTGGCGGACCTCGAGAATGCGTCCCCCCGCTCCAATCCGCGCACCCCGGGCGGCGGCGGCGGCGGCGGACGGGGCGGGGTCGACGACGACGACGATGTGGTCGTGGTTGGCAGCGGCGTCACGCCTATGAAGCGCGTGCCCATCCTGGCCAACTTCGAAGAGTGGATGAAGATGGCGACGGACAACAAGATCAACGCCACCAACTCGTGGAACTTTGCCCTCATCGACTACTTCCACGACATGTCCCTGCTGAAGGACGGGGACGGGGTCAACTTCCAACGGGCCAGTTGCACGCTCGACGGCTGCGTCAAGATCTACACGAGCAGAGTCGACAGCGTCGCGACGGAGACGGGCAAGCTGTTGAGCGGCTTGGCCGACAGCAATTCCAAGAAGAAGGGGAGGGACGGCGAAGCAGACGGCGAGGAGAGCGAAGAAGAAATTGACGAGGATGGAAACGTCGTCACGAAGAAGACCAAGAAGAGGGTGCGTCTCATCAATCCAATTCCATGTCCCAATGCTGGACCTAGATTGACAAACAGAACAGCAACGATCATCGGAAGCCACTCTCGCTCCCTCTTTCGCCTCCCTGCAGCTCAAGAAATTCGATATGGAGTTTGCTGTTGACCCCCTGTTCAAGAAAGCATCTGCAGATTTCGACGAAGGTGGAGCGAAAGGCTTGCTGTTGAACCATCTCATGATCGACGGCCAAGGGCGCATCGTCTTCGACAGCAGTGATGATGCAAACGACAAGTCAGGGGACGGCATCAAGCCCCGGCGAAGAGAGGACGTCACGGCGGAAGAGGAGACCGAAGTAGGGGAGGAAGGAGATACCATCACAGAGAATCAGGCCGAGGCGGAGGAGGAGGAAGATGTTGAGATCGATATCAGCAGCCTTGCAGCTAAGTTCTTCCCCGATCTCAGTCGGCTAGACGAGCAGGATATCTGCCCCTCGTTGAAAACATTCGACCTCGGAAACCCATCAGGATCCTTAGACATCCCATTCTTCCGCGCCCCAGAGGTTGAGGAGGATGAGGACGACGAGGACCTTGGCGGAGCTGGTAACAAGTCCGGTATGTACATCGACGAGGACAACCCGATGGGCTTCGATGACATGACCGCTATGGGCGGCTTCGACGTTGCCTTCGGCGAAGGTGGCGAGGCCTGGGCACGGGAAGCCGCACTGGAGTCTCAGGCGCGGCCATACAACATGGAGCTCGAGGATGGCATGGGCGTCGGTGAAGGCATCGAGGGCATGGACGACGAGAACGGCGATTATGTCGTATCCATGAGGCACGCGAAAGATGGCGACAAGATGCACGAGGACATTCTCGGTTACTTTGACCAAGCACTACAGAAGAACTGGGCTGGCCCAGAGCACTGGCGGATACGGAAGATCAAAGACGCGAACAAGACCGAAACAGCCACCCGACCGCGCAAAGAGAAGGAGCTATTCGAGATCGACTTTGCCGCACCGCTTGCCGGCAAGGCGGCTGAGACGATCTTTACGCAGGCGTCGAGCAACTCCGCCATCTCTCTGCCGAAGAAGGACTGGAAGTCGAAGACCCGGAACCTGTTACCCGACGACAAGCATTTCAACTCCAAGCAGCTTCTCAGGCTGTTCCTGAAGCCCAAAGCCCGGATGAGCAGCCGAAGAAACAGGTTCAGCAGCAAGATGGGCGCTTCTGGCCACGGCCAGCAAGACAACATACACCCGGCCGACATGGACGAGGCCTTCTGGGCCAAGAAGGAGCCTCTGCAGGACCAGCAGCAGGATACGGGCCTGCCTCAGGGCGATTACGATGCCAACTTCTTCGACGACGAGATGCCTCTTCCCGGCGGCGGCATGCTGGACGACGACGACGATCTCGAGTTCGCCGACGCCAGGGAACACTTCTCCCCCAGCGCCGAGGCGCCACCGACAGAGGCCCTGGGTCTGACGACGATGCTCGGCGGCGGCGGCATGACCATGGGCGGGTTCGGCACGCAGCTAGTCACGTCTACGAGGCGCCTGAGACCGGAATATGTCCAGTATGCCCGGGTGGCCAAGAAAGTGGACGTGCGCCGGCTGAAGGAGGAGCTCTGGAAGGGTCTTGGGTTCGAAGAGACTCGAGATGTACGTTTTGCCTGGCTTTATCCCCTCTTCTTTTTTTGCTACGTTTTTTTACAACTATTTACCTGTTTGCTTTCCACTTTTCAACTAAACGTTCTAAAACTAAAACTAAAAATTTTTAGGACCCCAATCGGTCGAGACTACCCACGCCTCCCACGGAAGCCGAAGAGGAGGACGAGGCATCAGCGCCCAAAAAGAAGGAGGAGGAGACGGAGGAGCGCACGCTCAAGTTCACCGAGGTGATGAACGATCTCAAGACGGTCTATCCCAAGGCCGTCATGGACGACATCTCGACGAGCTTCTGCTTCATCTGCCTCCTGCACCTGGCCAACGAGAAGGGCCTCATGATCGAGAAGACGCCGGAGCTGCTCGAGCTCGAGATCCGGAGGGACTACACTGCCGAGATCACGGAGGCGATCTGATGATGATCACTATGTACCTAGCAGGCAGGGCTTTAAACCCCGCGGGATGCACGCTTTGGTTTTAGGGGGTTGGTTGTGTTCATGATTACGGAGGAGGGTAGGTATTGTGATGTGATGTGAAATGATAAGTACGGGGTTGTGCTTTTTTTTTTTTTTTGGTGGTCTTCCCTCGATGATGATTGTGGGCGGATTAGAGAGATTTGCAGTCACTCGGTCAGTCAGTCAGTCAGTCAGTCAGTTATGGCGAGGCGTTGAAAGTTTGTTTTTATTTTATTCATTCGTTTAATGAAGAGCAGCATGACAGAAGCGAACAAGTGAATGTCTTGGATGTGGCCACCTCCTGCTTTTACCGTACTAGTGCTTCTTTTGCTTCTCCTACAATGTTATTATTGCACACTTGCCAAGGGAAGTGAGGCGGATGATATTGTCAGCGTGGGGATAGATGCATTGACTTGGGATTCGGGAGCAAAGTTGGGCTAGCACATGCTTGGACAGAAGGAGGGAAGAGATGAGGAGGGGGGAGGAAGAGGGAGGGGAACGGGGGAACGACAGGGATTATTAGGACAGGATACAAATGTGCACATATCTGGACAAACGCGATAAGTTGGTGCTTTTGCTACCTTGGTATGCAGCATGTTGCTGTATTATCAGTTTAAGTCTACATATACGTCCTGGTTCGAACCTAAGAGGCAGAGTACCTTACAAGCAGCATTGAACTATCCTGACATGTTTCTCTTCGTATTCTAGAGTGAGTGCTTGTCCTCGGCTTGGACCGCAACAACGATACTGGAAATCTTCTTTTCGTATTTCTGGAGTAAGTGGCAACAATTAGATAGACCCAGCCTTGTCCGTGCCGACTAGAGTGTCAGGAGCCTGCATTCAAGGTCATAAAGACCGGTTTTTCAACCCCGGTTGCATGCATGTTATTACACATGTCACACTTGAATAAACTGCATTTTTATTCAAATAAGGCTATTTAGTTCGGGCTTGCCCTGCAACCTCCTTTGCCCCTTCCTTTTTTTCAAATACTACTTCGAATACGCCTTCCTATTTGCAGTGACATTTTCCTAACAGAGTTTTAACATTATTTTATTACGCAACATTGTTCACAGGCCAACATTGTAAGTCCTAGAAAGGTTAAAACTAAATTTTTCGTGCAGTAGGTACTATGTTGAGACCGTATATCTCCCAACATGCCCGCATATAACAACTGTCGACATACTGGAACTAGAGTCTTATAAACCGGCGTCCCCCCCTCTTAGGTATCTCCTGATCCTTCTCGGATTCTGCTCGCACAGCCGCCCCCGGTTTGCTTTCTGGCCAATCCTTCCGACTTGGGTAGTAGACTGGTAGGCTTCGGTTCGGCGCTTAGGCCCCCAACAAGTGCCCACCTTTCATACTTACATACAAAGGTAGCATGGCAATTTGGTCTATGCCAACCAGCACCACGATGATGCGGTGCACATGCATGTCCGCCCCCGTTGGAGAAGAGGTCTTGCCGCCACTGTACCAACCTCCCATGCTTCCCCCGGAGCTGTCAAGTACGTAGGCTCTGATGGGAGTGAGGA